GCCTGGCCAATGTAGCGAAACCCCGTCTCTACTAAAAATCCAAAATTAGCTGGGCATGGTGGCATACACCTGTAGTCCCAGCTACTCAGGAGGCTGAGGCAGGAGAATTGCTTGATTCCGGGAGGCGGAGGTTGTGGTGAGCCCAGATCATACCACTGTTCTCCAGCCTGGGCAACAGAGTGAGACTTCATCTCAAAAAGAAAAGAAAAGAAAATCGGGAAATAGGAATCATCAGGGTTACTCTAGAGTCGGTCTCCCTGAAAGGCAGAGGCAGGTGATGGGACGCAAACGAACAGTCTAAATTAGGGTAGTGTTAATGCAAATAGAAAACTCAGATTCAGGAAATTATGTCTAGGAAATATGATTTCTTGCCTGTACCATGGGAAGTTCTTCATGTACATTATCTAACATAAGCATCAAAATATTTAAGGTAGGTGCCAGGAAAATCCTTATTTCACAGATGATGAAACAGCTTTGAGATGTTAAGCACCTAGAGGTCACATATATCCTAGCTTCAATCTCAGTGTCCCAGCCTAGATCCGAACCTGGGATGTCAATGCTGACGCTCAGTCTTGGCCATTCTTCTTTACTTGGACTTAAAAGTATAAAGGACCTAAGAGAAGTGGTAAGAGGAAAATGAAGATAATTCAAGATTTTAAACCATTCTACTTTAGGGAAGGGTGGTGTTAACTAAAATAGAAATGTCCTGAGTATTCTAGTAAAGTAATATTTATGCTCTGCATATACCACATGCCAGGCAGTATGCTAAGCACTGAGTATGCAGATGTTCTATGCTTATGCAAACGGAAATATTTAATGTTCCCAACAGCCCATGATACAGTCCTTTGTCTGATTTTACAGATTGGGAAACCAGACCATGCCAGTGCCCACAAAACTCCAGGTTTTGTAAATGCACTGGTTATTTTGTTCATAGCTGTTATTTCTGACATTATGTCTGACACATGAAAATGTTCATTATATAAGTTTTGGAATGAATATAGCTAGTAAGTGGCAGAGTCACGATTTGAACTCAGAGCAGCCCCATGCTCCCTCCTGGAGAAGTAATTTCATTGTAGTTACATTGCATTTGAGCCATGGCTGGATGTAGCTGTTCATAGTAACTCTGCTATTTTAGGTATTTAAGTACCTAAATTCTATCAGTGGAACTTGGGAGAAAGATCAAGGCCATAATAAACTATTGAGGACCATCCACATGGAAATTATGAAGTCCTAAAATTAGATGAGATGATTATGAGAGAGGGTATAGGTCTCAAAATAGAACCTTAGAGGACACCTATATTTAGAGGTTGAGAAGAGGAAGAGGCACTGTAAAAAGCAATGAATACATATAGGTCAGAGAGCTAAAAAGGAGATACGGATATAAAAGCAAAGAGGGAAGAGAAGGAAGGAGAGTTGTCAGCAAATACCAAGCACCATAGAGTAATCAAAGAGCATCAAGATTAAGACAAGAAACCTGAATTCGGAGATTAGGAGATAATTGATTACTTTTGTGTGAACATATCCAGGAAAAGAGACCATGTAAGAGTGAGCCTGGGAGGGTGGAAGAGTTGGGCTGTGAAAGGAGGAGTATGTAGTCAGGAAAAACTCATGAGTATAAACTTCTGGTATTTCAGGAGAGCTAGTTGCAGGAATATGAGAGGGGTTGAACATTTGAGTAGAGAGACATTGTGTATTGTAGACCGAAGGGAAGGCTCAAGTAAGAAGAAACTAAACAGGGCAGGGAAAGAAGAGAGACTGATGGAATGTGATCGAAGAGGAGGCAGGAGAATGGGATGCAAGACCACTGATAGGAAGGGCAGTCCCGAGGGTGAGGCACGCGTACCCCTGGAGGGAGGAAGGAAGCCTACCTACAATATTTTGTCAAAAGCTTTTTTTCCTCAAATATTGAGAAAAATATAGAAAAGTAGAAGTTGAGAGAGAAAAATTGATGTTTAAATTAATGATCCTCAGTTCCTTAAAAGGAATTCCAATTGTTAAAATATCGGTTCTTCAGATTCAAATGTATTAAGTCCTCCAAAGCATCTCCAGATTCCTCATTTTATTTTATTTTTCTCAACTAAAATTGATAAAATGTCTCAAAAAGAAGGAGGCAAGTTCATCTACATAGGAAACAGAATGAAAGATTTAAGGACTATAAGATGGTAAGAAATATTTTAATTAATTGAGTCAATAGTTAACAGAAGTTTACTCAACATCTAAGATAAACATAATTTAGTAGAGAAGACAATAAAGGATAAAATAAGCATCATTCGAGAACCAACTGAGATGAAATAGCATGAACTTTTAATGGAGCCCAACAGCATGGTTTCATAACACTGGTCAGTTTCTGAGAAGTGGTTGTTGAAAGAAATTAATAATGCCACACCAGGTTGAGAACTCAAATGGTGAAAACAGCAGGAAAAAAAAGAGGGAGAATGGATTCTAGAGGCCAGTGAAGACAGTATATACCTCATTGTATTGTGTTTCCCACCACTGCACTTCATAGATATTGCATTTTGTTTTACAAACTGAAGTTTTCTGGCAGCCCTGCATCAAGCCAGTCTACTGGCACCATTTTTCCAACAGTATGTGCTCGTTTAGTGTCTTTGTGTCATGTTTTGGTGACTCTCACATTATTTCATACTTATTATATCTGTTATGATGATCGGTATTCTTTAATGTTACTATAATAATTGTTGTGGGGCATCGCAAACTGCACCCGTATATAAGATGTCAAACTTAATTATAAATGTTGTGTGTGTTCTGATCATGGCACCAACCAGCCATTTCCTTTTTTGTCTCCCTCTTCTGGGGCCTCTCTATTCCCTAAGATACTACATACAGTTAATAACTCAACGATGGCCTCTAAATGTTCAATTGATAGGAATAGTAGCATGACTCTCACTTTAAATGAAAAGCTAGAAATGATTAAGCTTACTAAGGAAGGCATATTGAAAGCTGAGATAGGTTGAAAGCTAGGCCGCTTGCATCAAATAGCCAAATTGTGACTATAAAAGAAAAATTCTTAAAGGATATTAAAAATGCTACTCCAGTGAACACACAAATGATAAGAAAATGAAACAGCCTTATTGCTGATATGAAGAAAGTTTGAGTGGTCTGGATAGATGATCAAACCAGCCACAAAATTCCCTTAAGCACAAGCCTAATCCAGAATAAGTCTCTAATTCCATGTAATTCTGTGAAGACTGAGAGAGATGAGGAAGCTACAGAAGAAAAGTTTGAGTCTAGCAAAGGTTGATTCATGAGGATTAAGGAAGGAAGCTGTCTTCACTTCGCACCTTGTTGCAAGGCGAGGCAGCAAGTGCTGATGGAGAAGCGGTATCAAGTTATCCAAAACATCTAGCTAAGATAACTGATAAAAGAGGTGTATTAGTCTGTTCTCACACTGCTATAAAGAACTGCCTGAGCCTGGGTAGTTTATAAGGGAAAGAGGTTTAATTGACTCACGGTCTGGGAAGTCTCAGGAAACTTACAATCATGGAGGAAGGGGAAGCAAACATGTCCTCTTCACATGGTGGCAGAAAAAGAAGTGTCAAGTAAAAAAGGGGAAAAGCCCCTTATAAAACCATCAGATCTGATGAGAACTCACTCACTATCACGAGAACAGCATGAGGGTAACCATTCCCATGATTTATTGGATTTCTCCCACAACATTCTCCAAGATAATGTTATTGTTATTGGAGATTATGGGAACTACAATTCAAGATGAGATTTGGGTGGGACACAGCCAAATCATATCAGGTGGCTATTACTAAACAACAGATTTTTCAGTGGAGATGAAAATACCTTCTGTTGGAAGAAGATAACATCCCGGACTCTCACAGCTAGAGAGAAGTCAATGCCTAGCTTCAAAGGACAGGCTGGCTCTCTTGTTAGGATATAATGCAGCTGGTGACTTTTAAGTTGAAGCCAATGCTCATTTGCCACTCCAAAAATCCTAGAGCCCTTAAGACAGGCTAAATCTATTCAACCTGTGCTCTCTAAATGAAAGAACAAAGCCTAAATTACAGCACTTATGTTTATAGCATAGTTTAGTGAATATTTTAAGCCACTGTGGAGACCTGCTCAGAAAAAAATATTCCTTTCAAAATATTACTGCTGATTGACACTGGTCACTCAGGAGGTCTGATGGAGATATACAAGGAGATGAATTAAAAATAAATGGATGTGGCAAGAGAAGAAGGGGGGAGGACTGAGCAGACACCCAAATCATCAAGAGAGGTGGCATGTTATGACGAGTTCATAAAGACTATAACAATAGGGCTTGGCTGACAAGGTTCAAAGTTAGAGGTTGAAGGAGACAGAACAGTAGTCTAAATTGACAATAGGAGATAGGAATGTTTTTGAGGCTGGTAATATCTTCAGGGGCAATTAAGGTAAAGAATTGGAAGTTCAACTTCAGAATTAATCAAACTTTAGGATGCTTTGCTTTACTATGGATTAAGAAGGCAAGGTCATCAGGGAGTGACTGGTAGCAAAGCAAGGACACAGACCAGGAAGGGAGAGGGCTACCTGGAATCAGAATCAGTTGCTTCCCTAATCCACCCCATCACCCTTTACAGGTTACCCTTCTAATTCTTAAAATAGTCTACAAAGTGTTCTCCCCATTTTATCTGATGAAAAATATCTGGCTCTGAAATTTGAATCTTGTCCTGATTGCAAATTCTACTACAACATACTGACTCTCAGTGGTAGGGACGTGTTACTGCAGCTTCCAGGGACTAACTAGAAATCATGTCTAATTTATGGGAAATGGTTATAAAACATAGTGTCTTTCTTTGTTTTGCTCTTGAATTAGCTTTAAAATTCTTATGTGAGCTTGCAGATCTAATACTGCATATTCAGTTCCCATTTTTTTAAAGAAAAACATTTTGGACTCTTTAAGACATTAAGGAATTTCCAAATACATAAATATGATTATATTGAATTTCTGCAACTGTAGCCTAAAACATTAATACTTATATTGAATTATTTTTCAGGTGTGAAAATGAAACCAAGTTCAAAACAGAAGACATATTTTGGGCTTACAATTTCTGCCCTACGCCATACTCCTGGACAGCACTTCTGGGCCTTATTTTATATCTTGTTTTCTTTGCACCTGGTAAACAAAGGCTTTGTTATTACTGTTGCATTAATTGAATTGCCTCTTTTTAGAGTAGACAAACTATAATTTTTCAAATATCTTACATGCTATTTTACTAAAGTTTTTAATGTTTTATTTCTCAGGAATGGGACCAATGCCTTGGACTGTGAATTCTGAAATATATCCCCTTTGGGCAAGAAGTACAGGAAATGCATGTTCGTCTGGAATAAACTGGATTTTCAATGTTCTGGTTTCACTAACATTTTTACACACAGCAGAGTATCTTACATACTATGGTAAGAGAATATTTTTTCCAACATAGTTTTGTTTTTATTTTTATAACTCTATTTTTAGATATACTATAATATCATTTGTGATTGAGAGTATGTGGTTATGTTTTGCTGTTAGAAGTATCTCCATGTGGCTTTTTCGTTCTCCAAAGGCCTTGGAAATGTGTCTAGGAAAGAGAAGAGGGATTCTCCTATCCTCAACAGCATTGCTTCTTGTCCCACAGTGCTTAGGGCTAACTCAGACATCGACCAGCTATCTCCCTAGGTGGAATTCTTTACAGCATAGCTTGTAGTTTCACTGAAACCTAAAAAACAGAAAATTGTAAAAAAGATGTAGGCAGGGAGTCTAGGGCTAGTGAGATACCCTGCGACAGGGATAGCGTCAAGTCCAAGAGCAGAATCTGCGGAGGGCTGAAAGTAGCTTCCCCAGATACTTAACAATATTCTGTGCTGTGGCCATACCTTCCACGGTATCACCTGTGCTGCTCAGGCCAATGCATAAGCATTTCAGTGTCCTCTGAGACCAGCACTTACCACTTGCAAAAGTGTAAATATGACGGAACTGTTCAAATGCAAATGTGTGGAGACCAAAATTCAAAATAAAAAACTGCTTAGTGGCTGAGTCAGGAAAATACTTTGGGGAGCTACTTGAAATCCACTTTTACTAAAGTGAAAAACTGCTTTTTAGAAAAAAGATGTCTGCGCTGATCACATGACTTTATAGGTTACAATAGGATTATTCACGGTGTGAGGTTTCATTCTAATCTCCTCCTAAGTCACTGTGGTAGAGGTGGAATGCCTGCTGCTTAGACCATTCTCCCAGAAGACCTTCTCTGATCTCCCCACAGTCTCACTTTATTCTGTGTTCTGGGCACTTACCAGTCCTTGTTGCAAGAACAGGTTTGTCTGCCCCTAGCTCCCTCTACTAGAAGGAGATGTACTACATAAATCCCTGGAGGGCCAGGACTGTGCCTTGTTCATTGTATCATTCCCAGTTCCTTCCACCTGATAAGCACTGATAAGTATTTGTCAAATGAATAAATACATCAATTTTTTTTTATTATTATATTCTAAGTTCTGGGGTACACGTATATGCAAAACATCCAGGTTTGTTACATAGGTATACACGTGCCATGGTGGTTTGCTGCATCTATCACCCTGTCAGTATTTCTCCTGGTGCTATGCCTCCCCCAGTCCCCCACCCCATGACGGGCCCCAGTGTGTGATGTTCCCTTCCCTGTGTCCACATGTTCTTACTGTTCAACACCTACCTATGAGTGAGAACTTGGGGTGTTTGGTTTCCTATTCTTGTGTCACTTTGCTGAGAATGATGGTTTCCAGCTTTATCCATGTCCCTGCAAAGGACATGAACCCATCCTTTTTTATGGCTGCATAGTACTCCATGGTATATATGTGCCACATTTTCTTTATCCAGTCTATCACTGATGGACATCTGGATTGGTGTGAAGTGTTTGCTGTTGTGAACAGTGTCACAGTAAACAAATGTGTTCCTATGTCTTTATAATAGAATGATTTATACTCCTTTGGGTTTATATCCAGTAATGGGATTGCTGGGTCAAATGGTATTTCTAGTTCTCCACCCTTCAGTAATTTCCACACTGTCTTCCACAATGGTTGAACTAATTTACACTCCCAACAGTGTAAAAGTGTTCCTATTTCTCTACATTCTTTCCAGCATCCGTTGTCTCCTGATTTTTTTTTTTTTTTGAGACGGACTTTTGCTCTTTTCACCCAGGCAGGAGTGCAATAGCTCAGTCTCGGCTCACTGCAACCTCTGTCTCCTGGGTTCAGGCAATTCTCCTGCCTCAGCCTCCTGAGTAGCTGGGATTACAGGCATGCACCACCATGCCCAGCTAATTTTTTGTATTTTTAGTAGAGACAGGGTTTCACCATGTTGACCAGAATGGTCTCGATCTCTTGACCTCGTGGTCCACCCGCCTCGGCCTCCCAAAGTGCTGGGATTACAGGCTTGAGCCACCGCGCCTGGCCGTCTCCTGATTTTTTAATGATCATCATTTTAATTGGTGTGAGATGGTATCTGAAAGTGGTTTTGATTTGCATTTCTCTATTGACCAGTTACGATGAGCTTTTTATCATAGGTTTGTTGGCTGCATAAATGCCTTCTTTTGAGAAGTATCTGTTCATATCCTTCACCCACTTTGTGATGCAGTTGTTTTTTTCCTATAAGTTTATGTTCTTTGTAGATTCTAGATATTAGCCCTTTGTCGGATGGGTAGATAGCAAAAATTTTTTCCCATTCTGTTGGTTTCCTGTTGACTCAAATGATAGCTTCTTTTTCTGTGCAGAAGCCCTTTAGTTTAATTAGATACCAATTGTCTATTTTGGCTTTTGTTGCCATTGCTTTGGTGTTTTAGTCATGAAGTCCTTGCCCATGCCTGTGTTCTGAATGGTTTTGCCTAGGTTTTCTTCTAGGGTTTTTATGGTGTTAGGTCTTATGTTTAAATCTTTAATCAATCTTGAATTAATTTTTGTTTAAGGTGTAAGGAAGGGATCCAGTTTCAGCTTTCAGCATATAGTTAGCCAGTTTTCCCAACACCATTTATTAAATAGGGAATCCTTTCTCCATTGCTTGTTTTTGTGATGTATGTCAAAGATCAGATGGTTGTAGATGTGTGGCATTATTTCTGAGGCCTCTGTTCTGTTCCATTGGTCAGTATCTCTGCCTTGGTACCAGTACCATGTTTTTTTGATTGCTGTAGACTTCTCGTATAGTTTGAAGTCAGGTAGCGTGACGATTCTAGCTCTTTTTGCTAGAATTTGTCTTGGTTTTGTGGGCTCTTTTTTGGTTCCATATGAAGTGTAAGGTGTTTTTCAATTCTGTGAAGAAAATCAGTGGTAGCTTGATGGGGATAGCATTGAATCTATAAATTACTTTGGGCGGTATGGCCATTTTCACGATATTTATTCTTCATATCCATGAGTATGGAATGTGTCTCCATCTGTTTGTGTCCTCTCTTATTTTCTTGAACAGTGATTTGTAGTTCTCCTTAAAGAGTCCTTCACATACCTTGTTAGTTGTATTCCTAGGTATTTTATTCTTTGTAGCAATTGTGAATGGGAGTTCACTCATGATTTGGCTCTCTTTGTCTGTTATTGGTGTATAGAAATGCTTGTGATTTTTGCATACTGATTTTTGTATCCTGAGACTTTGCTGAAGTTGCTTATCAGTTTAAGGAGATTTTGGGCTGAGACAATGGGGTCTTCTAAAAATATAGTCATGTCATCTGCAAATAGAGACTATTTAACTTCCTCTTTTCCTAACTGAATACCCTTTATTTCTTTTTCTTGCCCAATTCCCCTGGCCAGAACTTCCAATACTGTGTTGAATAGGAGTGATGAGAGAGGGCATCCTTATCTTGTGACTGTTTTCAAAGGGAATGCTTCTAGTTTTTGCCTATTTAGTATGATATTGGCTGCAGGTTTGTCATAAATAGCTCTTACTATTTTGAGATATGTTCCATTGATACCTAGTTTATTGAGAATTTTTCGCATTAAGGGCTGTTGAATTTTGTTGAAGGCCTTTTCTGCCTCTATTGAGATAATCATGTGGTTTTTCTCTTTGGTTCTGTTTATGTGATGGATTATGTTTACAGATTTGCATCTGTTGAATATGCCTTGCATCCCAGGATGAAGCTGACTTGATCATGATGGATAAGCTTTTTGATGTGCTGTTGGATTCGGCCACCCAGTATTTTATTGAGGATTTTTGCATCAATGTTCATCATGGATATTGGCCTGAAATTTTCTTTTTTAGTTGTGTCTCTGCCAGGTTTTGGTATCAGGATGATGTAGTTCTCATATAATGAGTTAGGGAGGATTCCCTCTTTTTGTATTGTTTGGAATAGTTTTAGAAGAAATGGTACTAGCTCCTCTTTGTACCTCTGGTAGAATTCAGCTGTGAACCCCTCTGGTCCTGGACTTTTTTTGGTTGGTAGGCTATTCATTGCTGCCTCAATTTCAGACCTTGTTATTAGTCTATTCAGGGATTCGACTTCTTGGTTTAGTGATAAGAGGGTGGAAGTGCCCAGGAATTTAGCCATTTCTTCTAGATTTACTGGTTTATTTGCACAGAGGTGTTTGTAGTAATCCCTGATGGTAGTTTGTATTTCTGTAGAATCGGTGGTGATATCCCATTTATCATTTTTTATTAAATCTATTTGATTCTTTTCTCTTCTTCATTAGTCTGGCTAGTGGTCTGTTTTGTTGATCAGAACACCAGCTCCTGGATTTATTGATTTTTTTGAAGGGTTTCTTTGTGTCTCCTCCTCTTTCAGTTCTGCTCTGATCTTAGTTATTTCTTGTCTTCTGCTAGCTTTTGAATATGTTTGATCTTGCTCCTTTTTTTGTTCTTTTAAACATGACATTAGGGTGTCGATTTTAGATTTTTCCTCCTTTCTCTTGTGGGCATTTAGTGGTATAAATATCCCTGTAGACCTTGCACATGGATAAATTTTTGTAGATGAATGTTGAGTATGATGAAACATTATAAAAATATATTCCCTATCTCTTCTGAACATGCTGAATTGGTACTTGCTTTTGGTTAATAGTATTTATCTAATGATTTTATTATGTTCGTAAAACTGTTCTCTCTCCTAATCACCATTTACGACATTTGAAAATACTTATTTTCTTGAAATGGAAATGTACTGGCATTTTAAACTGGATATATATTTATTATATTCAACTGGATCCCATTTGGCAATTAAAATTTTTCTATAAATTCATGAACTTATCTTCCTGACATAATAAATATGAACACAATAGGTATTTCCTTGTTTACTGATTCTTGAGAACACTTATATTTGAAGACCTAAATATATGCTGGCATCCTGAGAAAGCGTTCTTCATAGAAAGGCATAGACCAAATTTAAAAATTCTACACGATTATATTATACTTTTGACAGCAAAGCTCCTCTTTCTTGACTTTATTCTTACGGAGAAACATGAGGCAACAGTAATGAAAT